ATGGCTGAGTAATATTCCATTGAATATACACACCATATCATTTTTTATCCACTTATCTATCATCTATCCATTCATCTATCAATGGATACTTGGGCTGCTTCCATAATTTTGCTATTGTAAATAATGCTGCAATAAACATAGGGCTGCCTATATCTTTTGGAGTTAGTGTTTTCATTTTCTTTGGGTAAATACCCAGTAGGGGGATTACTGGATTATATGGTATTTCTATTTTTAATTTTTTGAGGAACTGCCACACTGTTTCCCACACTGGATGCACCAATTTACATTCCCACCAATGATGCATGAGAATTCCCTTTTCTCTACATCCTCACAAACACTCATTATTTCTTGTCTTTTTTTGAAAACGATTTTATTTATCTCTTTGAGAGAGAGAGAAAGAGAGAGACAGAGAGAGTAAGAATGAGTTGGGGGAGGGGCAGAGGGACAAGCAACCTCCCTGCTGAGCAGGGAGCCAGAAGCAGGGCTCCATCCCAAGACCCTGGGATCATGACCTGAGCCAAAGGCAGCAGCTTAACTGACTGAGCCACCCAGGCGTCCCTAACCAGATTTTTTTTTAATGTTGATTTGTATATTCATTTTTTAAAAACTATATTTTAGACATTAATCCCTTACCAAATAAATCATTTGCAAATATCTTCTCCCATTCATAGGTTGGTTTTTGTGTTGATTCCTTCCTTATTGGCTTCCTTTGCTATCCAAAAAGCTTTTTATTTTGGTTATTTTGCTGTAGTTCCAATAGTTCATTTTTGCTTTTGCTTCCCTTGTCCGAAGAGACATAGCCATAAATATGTTGCTAAGGCCCATATCTAAGATTTACTGCCTTTGTTTTCCTTAGGTGTACATGGTTTCAGGTCTCACATTTAGGTCTTTAATCCACCCGGAGTTTATTTTGGGGTAGGGTGCAAGAAAGTGGTCCGGTGTCCTTCTTTTGCATATACCTGTCCAGTTTTCCAAATACCATTTATTGAAAAGACTGTTTTCCCCATTGTATATTTTTTTCTTCCTTTGTTGTAGATTAATTGACCATTTAGGTGTAAGTCAATGTGCTTTTCCAATATAAATCATCACAATTTTTATATAGATCTCTAGCACTGCACAGTATCTTGGGCACAGAGTAGAAGTACAAGTATTTGAACAGAAACTAATATAGGCTTAGAACTAAGGATGACAAAGTCTAGAACCAAAGGAGCACTTAGATGTGTTGGTATGAGTCTTCAAATCTGACAAAATCCAGACCAAAGCAATAACCTATTATTGCCGTAGGTAAGCAGATGCTACTGGTTCTGAGGGCAGGTCTCTAAACTACCTTGTACTTGGGCAGGGTGTTAGTTTAGTACTAGTGCACAAAGGGAAGAGTGCCACCTGCTGGACCAGCAGTGATACTCCGTGTAGGGTTGGGGCTACTTGGCAATGAGGAAAATGACAGGCTCCAGTCCAAATCAAATTCTTAGCTTGCACTTAAATTAGTTTAACAGTCGTTTGGAATTATTACCTCTTACAAGGTTCTTCTGCTCACCTGACAAAGAATTGCTCTTCCAAAACAGAATTTTTCTCTTGAATTTATTTTGGGGAGATAATTCTATTATTTTACCATACAAGCGTACACTTAACTTACTGCTTATAACAACACATTTTGACACTAGTTATAATCCATTTTGTAAAGCACAGTCATTTGGTTATTTCCTCTCAGAGTCACAGTTCACTCTTTTCTCTATAGTCCAAGAAAATCAACACATGAATTCTTCTAGGCAGGAATCATAGTTGCGAAAAGTAATATTCCAGGGCTCTGACTTCTATTCTAGTATGCTCGAATGGGCAGATGGAAGGAAGAATTGGCAAGGAGCCCCAAAGGGATGCAGGAACAGTGGGACTGGTCCACAAAGGTGGGGAGGGATGTTATACATCACTGACATTCTTTGGAATTTCTGTACGTGATAATTTAAAAAATGCTATCTGACTTAGTTTTATTGCTTTTCTGTTTTCTACAGACAATGCACCCCTTATTATCTGAACCAAGGGCAGACCACTCCCACAGCATCCCCTTGATATACCTCCAAGTATTTGCACTCACGAATAGTATGGGGTAGTAGGGCAGAGATGTCTATATATATATGTCTTATGTATGGAGAAAAATACATGATGATTTATTATATCTGATTAAAACTGTCTTCATCCATACTGCCTTAAATTCCTTCTTATTTTGACAGTGAACCAATTATTTAGGTTACAGATGATAAAACTACTGTATTGAATACCTTAAGGTGAATCCATTTAATCAGATTACATTCTTTTAAAATTTAGTTAACATCTTGGGGCAACCTGGGTGGCTCAGTGGGTTAAAGCCTCTGCCTTCAGCTCAGGTCATGATCCTAGGGTTCTGGGACTGAGCCCCGCAGCGGGCTCTATGCTCAGCGGGGAGCCTGCTCCCCCCACCCCCCGCCTGCCTCTCTGCCTACTTGTGATCTCTGTCAAATAAATAAATAAAATCTTTAAAAAAAAAAAAAGATGAAAGGACTCATATCCTATAACCCTGTCATTAAAAAAAAAGAAGAAGAAAGAAAGAAAAAGTTAGTTAACATCAGCTCACTTCAGGACTAAGAGTTTTGGAGAAAAGAGTAATCTAGAAGTGTGAGGGTCTTTAAAATACATTAGTCTGTTTCCAAACTGGCCAATCAGGCTCCTTGCCCAGGATTGCTCTACTGTAAGGACTGAAAAAGACAGTTTATATCCCCAGGGTTGATGAACTGGTAGGAAATTAATCCTGAGCTGCTAGCAGACATTTGTCCACCGAAGGAGAACCTGTGACTGAGAGAAAATAATTCTCAGATGACATTGCATTAATTGAGTTCTGACTTGCCCAGTTCCATAAAATAATAAATCCTCCCCATTTCTGTTTGTTAAACAAGTTTGAATTGGATTTCTGTTTTCCTCCCTAACCAAAACCATTTTGACAACGTAAGATCGTAAATATAGTGCTTATATGCCAGATTAAAATGTTCTGTAGCTATACTATATCCCTTTATATAATTGATTACAGCATATATATGTAGACATTACTTTCTATGAGTGATCTGTGGTGTCCGCCAACAACTGGCAGCACAATATATAACAACTTACTTTTCTTACTCATTTTTTATTCTCAGCAGTCAGTTTTGAAAGTGATTTATTCTCATTCTAGACATTTGATTAATTATTGGTCCTACATATACACTAATTCCAATTCAGATTTTAAATTAGCTGCCTCAAATTTTGACATGAGAATTAACAGTCTTTCTGCACATCATGACCTGAATATATATGAATATAGTTCCTTATTACTCTCATTCTATTCATTTTTTTAAGTAATTCATAAAATTCAAAATTTTAGTTCAAGGCATGCTGTAATTAAATTAGGAAGCATGGCAGAGTTTGGATTAGAACTAAATCAGATTGGCAGAAATTCTGTTGCCTTAAATAGCTTTGTTTTACATGGTGCTATTAAAGTTATAGCCACATAAATCATACTCCTTAATCCTAAAATTCCTGGAAATTAACTACTGGAAGAGTGATAATAACTTTGAGGGAGCTCAGTGGATGAACCCAGCAATACTGGGGAAGGGAAGTACCAGTAAAAACCAGATGGAAGACAAGGGTAGCATCAACTTTTGGGGTTTTCTGTGTTTTGTTTGTTTGTTGAAACTGATGCACTATAATTTTGATGGCTCTGACTTGGCCTTCAGTGCGAACAGTGGTGCCAGGCTTATGGTCAGCACTCAATAAAGGCTTGTTGAATGAATGAATAAATGTTTTACAATAGATACAAATTTTTGCTGCAGTAAGATTCTTCCTGTAATTGTTGCAAATTTTAAGACAGTCATTGAGGACTGAGCCGGAAGGAATTTCAGGTGTCCTTTTTAAGTTTCCTTATTTTAATATTGAAGGAACTGAGATCAGAAGAGGTAAAATGACTGCCCAAAACAGAGATAGGGGTAGTAAATCAGTTAACAAACACTTATGGAGCATCCAGTACTAGGTAAATGTTTGGCATTGTTTCAGATAATGGACATACAGCAGAGCATAAGTCATCCAAAGTCTGACTTCAAAAGAGCTTATATTCTGGAGCACCTGGGTGGCTCACTCTGTTAAATGTCTGACTCTCTTTTTTTTTTTAAGATTTATTTATTTATTTGACAGATAGAAATCACAAGGAGGCAGGGAGGCAGGCAGAGAGAGAGGAGGAAGCAGGCTCCCCACTGAGCAGAGAGCCCAATGTGGGGCTCGATCCCAGGACCCTGGGATCATGACCCGAGCTGAAGGCAGAGGCTTTAACCCACTGAGCCACCCAGGTGCCCCAAATGTCTGACTCTTGATTGCAGTTCAGGTCATGATCTCATGATCGTGAGATGGAACCCCACACTGGGCTCTGTGCTAGGCATGGAGCCTGCTTAGGATTCTCTCTTTCCCTCTCTCTCTCTCTCTCTCCCTTTGTCCCTCTCCCCCTGCCCCCACTCTCTCTCCCTCTCTCAAAAAAAAAAAAAAAAAAAAAAGCTTATAGTTCAGTGGAGAGAGATGATTAACATGTCAAATGAATGAATAAATAAGATAATTTCAAGTCTGATAAATGATGCTAATGAAAATGCTAATACAGAATATTGTGATGGAGAAATGACAGAGGGTGGGAAGAGACACAACTGGTTTAGTAGAGGGCTCAGCACGGGGCTCTCTAAGAACTCTTCTGTGAGCTGAGCCTTGAGTCATGAGGATACATCCATGCAAATGTATGAAGGAAGAGTATTCCAAGTGCAAGTGCAAAGGTCCTGAGACGGGAACAAACTTGGTGTGCTTGATGGGGGGAAAAATAGCCATAGCGTTTCAACCGGAAGGAAGGGAAGACAAAATGGACAGAGATGATGTTAGGTATGGAGGAAAAGGAGTTGGGTTTTATTACAGAGGATGATGAGACAGCATATAAAAGGTTTCAAGGAAAGGAGTCATCTAACCTAATTTTCATGGTAGACAAATCATTCAAGCTGCTCTGTGGAGAAGGGACCAGGGCGGGAATGAGAGGAGACTTGAGCTCCTTGGAAAGCTGTCCTGGTAATCCAGGCGTGATGGTGGTCACTTGGATTAGGGTGTAGCAGAGGGCAGGGGAGCAGTAGCTGTACTTAAGCATGTTTTGTATGTACCTGCAAGACTTGCTGATAAATGCATGTGGACAGTGAGGAAATGAACACGCCAGTTACAGTGATGGGGAAGACTCAAGGAAGAACAAATGGAGAAAATAGGGGAAGTGAGTAGTTCTGCTTTGGACTTGTTAAGTTTGACACTTTTTTAAAAAAAAGGGTTTCATTTATTTATTTGTCAGAGAGAGAGAACAAGCAGGGGGATCAGCAGGCGAAAGGAGAAGCAGGCTTCCCTCTGAGCAGGGAGCCCGATGTGGGACTCGATCCCAAGACCCTGGGATCATGACCTGAGCCAAAGGCAGATGCTTAACTGACTGAACCACTCAGACATCTGACTTTTTTTTTTTTCTTTTAAAGTTGGCTCCACACTCAACGCGGGGCTTAGACTCCTGACCCCAAGACCAAGAGTCCCATTCTCTACTGATTGAATCAGGCAGGCACCCCAGTTTGACATTTTCATTAAACACTGAAGTGGAAATGCCAAAAGGGAGTTGGATGAACAAGGCTAAGCCTCAGGATAGAAGTCAGGAGAGGAGGTATGGATTTAGAAGTCATCAGGACATGGGTGAAAATTAAAGCCATGGTGCTAGGGGAGACTAGTGGTAGAGAAAAGAGAACTGGGGCCAGAGCCTGGAGCACAGTGGGAGGTCTGCAGGAGGGGAGGAGCTAGAAAAGGGGCTGAGAAAAAGCTACCAGGCAAGTGGGGCAAATCAAGAGAGTATGACTCCACGGACATCTCTGCAGACCACCTTAATAAGAACTGTTTCTGGGGCGCCTGGGTGGCTCAGTGGGTTAGGCCACTGCCTTCGGCTCAGGTCATGATCTCAGGGTCCTGGGATCGAGTCCCGCATCGGGCTCTCTGCTCCGCAGGGAGCCTGCTTCTTCCTCTCTCTCCACCTGCCTCTCTGCCTACTTGTGATCTCTGTCAAGTAAATAAATAAAATCTTAAAAAAAAAAAAAACTGTTTCTTATTTTTTTTAAACATTTTATTTATTCATTTGAGAAAGAGAGAGAGAGAGAGCATGAGAGGGAGAAGGTCAGAGGGAGAAGCCGACTCCCCATGGAGATGGGAACCCGATCCCGGGACTCTCGGATCATGACCTGAGCCAAAGGCAGTCGCTTAACCAACTGAGCCACCCAGGCACCCAGAACTGTTTCTTATTGATACTGGGCTGGGAGAATGGGGGAATGAAAGCCTCCCTGGAGTACTGAGGTTAGAAGGAGAGGTAAGGACAAAAAAGTAGCAGGTCTTAAAGCAAGACTTTCAGATGTCTTTCCATGGAGTGAGGAAGAGAGATGGAATTGTGGCTGGAGGGCATTGGAAGGTCAGGGAACTGCTAATGGAAACAATCCAGTGAAGGAAAAAAATGTGGGGTTAAGGGGAGCTGGGGAATAGCCATGAGGAAGGACTGGTCTGGGGCCTTGGATAGAGCAGGGATGCCTCTTTCATTATAACTCAAGGGAAAGACAGGTACCCGGTTCAGATGCAGATGGTCTGCAGGATTTGGTGAGGCGCTGTGGTAATCTTTGTCCATTTCCACCAGTATGTATCCAATTTTCCCAAATCCTACTCCTGGGTGTAACCATACAGCCTCCATTAGACTTCAGAAAGATGTTAATTCCTACTTTAATTGATTTGCAGCATGAAAATATTCTCCAAACCTGATCATCTTAATGGCACAAACATGTCATTGTCCAATTAAGTGGAATTCTTGTAGAACTAAGCTTGTTTGGAGTACAATGTAAAAGAGACACAGTCCTCAGTTTTTAGTTTGAATAGAAGAATAGAGTTAACAAATGGAAAAAGTAGAAGAAACCGAGGTCCTTGAAATCACTGTTGAACCCCTGAATTAACCAACTCTGGAAGGATCCTATCCTGGATTTCCTTTATGTGAGTTAATAAATGTATCGATGACTTGAGCTGTTTTGCTGGTTGTTGTTGCTTAGAGCCAAAAGCATTTTAACGGGCATAGTATTTCTTTGAGATTCGCGGTAGCCATCTGGAAAAATGAAGCTCAAACTTTACAGAAAAATAGATAAATCAAAAAATAATTTCAAGGGACGCCTGGGTGGCTCAGTTGGTTAAGCGGCTGCCTTCGGCTCGGGTCATGATCCCGGCGTCCTGGGATCGAGTCCCACATCGGGCTCCTTGCTCGGCGGGGAGCCTGCTTCTCCCTCTGCCTCTGCCTGCCTCTCTGTCTGCCTGTGCTCGCGCTCTCTCTCCATCTCTAACAAATAAATAAATACAATCAAAAACAACAAAACAAAAAAAAACAAAAAAAAAAACAAAAAAAAACAAAAAATAATTTCAAATGTACTGACAATACTGTGCAATTCCTTCCCAAGCGTGACACCAAATCTAGAGACCTCATGTAGATGGGATAATTATTGAATAAACCATAATACCTCAAGACATGTTACAATGTTTTTTGTTTGTTAAGATTTTATTTATTTATTTGATAGAGAGAGACACAGCAAGAGAGGGAACACAAGCAGGGAAAGAGGGAGAAATGTGCTTCCCGCCTAGCAGGGAGCCTGACACAGCGTCCATCCCAGGACCCTGGGATCTGACCTGAGCAGAAGGCAGGTGCTTAACGACTGAGCCACCCAGGCCCCCCTGCAATGTTTATATGAAAAAAAAAAAAAAAAAAAGGATTCACAACATGTACGTGCCCCATATACTTTGTCTTTTTTGTTTTTATTTTTAGGATTTATTTGCTTATTTATTTGAAGAGAGAGAGAGCGCACAGGAGTGCTGGAGCAGGGGAGGAGGAAGAGCAGAGGGAGGTGCAGACTCCCCTCCGAGCAGGAAGCCCATGAATTGGGGGAAGGGGAGTGCATGTGGGCAGATGCGGTCTATGATGGGCCCATGTGGGGCTCCATCCCAGGCCCCTGGGATCATGACCTGAGCTGAAGGCAGACACTTAACTGACTGAGCCACCCAGATGCCCCATATTCCATGCAAGTTGTATAAGTTTATGGCTCTGTGTCCATTGGGTGTTTTTTTTTTAATTGTTAAACTATAAAGTTTCTTAGATTTCTGATTCATTTTAAAGATGTTGATTTAATTATCAATAGAATGCAATGTTGAAAAAAAAAATCCTAGAGGCCATACAAGAAAAGACTGATAGATCCATAAATATTAAAAATTCTCCATTAAAAAAAAATTGCAAGTTAAGGGAAAAATGAAAAGTTGGGGAAATTTGCAATTTGAACTTGGGATGAAAGGCTAATTTTCCTAACATAGAGTTCCACTAAGCCTTTTTAAAACACCATCACCAAAATAAGAAATGATACAGGATATGAATAGTGTGTGTTTACAAACAAATGGCTTTTTTTTTAAAGATTTTATTTATTCATTTGACAGACAGAGATCACAAGTAGGCAGAGAGGCAGGCAGAGAGAGAGACAGAGGAGGAGGAAGCAGGCTCCCCGCTAAGCAGAGAGCCCGATGTGGGGCTCGATCCCAGGACCCTGGGATCATGACCCGAGCTGAAGGCAGAGGCTTTAACCCACTAAGCCACCCAGGTGCCCCAAATGGCTCTTAAATATATAAAAAGATGCTCAACTTACCCATAAGAGGAGAATTTCACATTGAAACTGAGCTATTTCTTGGATGACATCTTCTGTTGGGGAAAGTGTGGGAAACAAGTACTCTTGGTAAATTGCTGGCCAGAGTGCAAACTGATTCAACTGAAGAGTAACTTGACAGTATCTATCAACCTTACAAATGTTACCTTGAAGTAGCAATTCTACTTTAAGAATGTATCCTATTGAACTATTTGTATACTCGTAAAACAATATTTGTACAAGGTTATTCTTTGTAGCATTATTTATAAAAACAAAAGTTTCAAAGACCAGATAAAGGTCCATCAAGGGTCCAGTTAAATAAATTTTGGAGCAATGATAAAATTGAACACTACTGTAGCTGTAAAAGCAACGAAAAGAATGAAAATTTCCTTTAAAATCTGGGTGGGGGGCTGGCTCAGTCGGTAGAGTACATGACTCGTCATCTCAGAGTGTGAGCCCTACATTTGCCAGAGAGCTTATTTAAAATCAGTCAATTAATCAATCTAAAAAAAAGGAGAATTCCTTTAAATTCTGATATGGGAAGATCTTCATGATTTAGTGTTAAGTTAAAAAAAAACATAAGATTCAGTATGTATAGTATGTCATCATTTATATAAAAATATATGGATAACTATATATACATACTTGTTTGTATATGCATAAAAATTTCTGTAAGAATATACAGGAAACTAATAACACAGCTTGTCAATGTCAGTAAAGTTGGGGACAAACAGGAAAAGAAAAGGATCTTTAACAACTTACTCTTATACATATGGGATTTTAAAGCATATACATGTATTATATATTTTTTAAAAAATTTTTTGAACACTGCAGATTAGAAAAACTAAATCTCTGTTGTTAGATACTTGCAATTCGAGATATACAAAAATTATTTTTGTAAAAACAAATGCTTGGGAAAAAATTAAATGTCTAATAGTAGTGGATAGTAGGCAGCCATTAAAAGAGATTGAGGGAGCACCTGGCTGGCACAGTCCATGGGACACTTGATCTTGAGGTTGTGGGTTTGAGCCCCATGCTGGGTGGAGAGATTGCTTAAAAATAAAATCTTGGGGCGCCTGGGTGGCTCAGTGGGTTAAGCCGCTGCCTTCGGCTCAGGTCATGATCTCAGAGTCCTGGGATCGAGCCCCGCATCGGGCTCTCTGCTCTCTAGGGGAGCCTGCTTCCTCCTCTCTCTCTGCCTGCCTCTCTGCCTGCTTGTGATCTCTCTGTCAAATAAAATAAAAAATAAAAATAAAAAAAAAATCTTATAAAAAATAAAATCTTAAAAAATAAATAAATAAATAAAAGAGAAGGGGGAAGCATTTCATGTAAAAACACAGAAAGATCTCTAGGATACATTTTTAAGAAGGAAAAGAAGATATGGAATGGGTCACAGAATAGCCTACCATTTGTACAAAAA